ATGTGACGGTCTCAACAATTATGTTACGTTAGTGATACATGTATGTGCTATACAAGTAACCGTAATTGTACTTATAGATATCTTGATGATAATCATGATCATGATCCCTATCGTTATCACCATTATCGGTATTACCATTTCCATCCGTACCAATATCGTCATCATTTTTTCAGTTGTTGTTATTGTTGATTTAAACAATATTATATGTCTTTCTAAATACAGGCTAAAGGCCCAAAGATAGGTGTATTTTGGAAGTTGCTGTTTGGTACCGTGACCTGTCTGTCCTTCGGTAAGTATTATTTTGGCTTAACATATCCGTCATATTTCTATGATTTCACGAATATTGCTGAAAAAAGTTGATTTTCGAAATTAACATAATGAAGCATAATAGTCGTGGAGTGTAAAACCTACGTTAGTGCAAGAAAAGACTGTAATTTGACAATTTATCACATTTCATGAAGCCTTGGGAAGAGCCTATTCTCATGGTCCTGGCTGTGTCAAAAAGCAGCTTAATTACAGAACCATTTGAATGTATAGTCACATTAAGCTGACACTATTACACAACTATTGAAAAGGGTTTGTGCCCTCAAACTAGACATCCGGGGCATCTCAAACCAAAAAAAAATCACATTATTAAAAAGTCTCCCTAATAAATGTTTCAAAATATTTAAAGATAAACTGCATCCCCTAAATGGAGGAGAGGGAGGAAGGGAAGGAGGAAAAGGAGGAGGAGACAGGAGGAGAAAAGGCGTAGGAGGAGGAAGTGAACAAACAACTAGCAATTAATTGTCAAATATCTTCTTCACAGCCCTGCCTGTGTTATCGGATACGTCCAAGATGGCGAAGACAACTTGTCCAGACTGGTACGGCCTAAATTACACTTTGCCCATGTTCAAAAAGTGTGAGACGAAGCGACTCCAGGATGGCAGCATGGTGCAGAGCATCCCCAAGCTCATTCCTTTCCCTTCTGTCATCGGCGGGTGCCACCAGAGGAAGAGTAAAGAAGGGATCCCGGGTGGGCATAGAATATGCAGAATCCCGTGTAGGTTTCATTCCTTTTTCAATTTTGATCTCAAATGTATTTCTTTGTTTATTAAATAAATCTATATAATACGTTCTTCAATGATATCATTAGGGCTTTTTCGTTTGTGAAGACGGGGGCGCTGTTTTCTTCCTCTAACGATACGAATTGGCTACAGTCAATCCGTCCTGTTCATTACTTTACAACCCGTTTGTATGTAATCGAAGCCCGTTCTCTACACGATGATTTAATGCCCCCCCCCCCCGCGCTTATTCAATTTCATCTTCTTTCACTTCATTTGTTTCTATCCTTCGTCATGTTATTCTTTGTTTTCCTTCTATCCTTTTCTTTCTCTGTTTTTCTTATGTTATCCTTTGTTTTTCGGACCTTTCATCTTTTCTTCTATCTTTTCATTAATACTCTTTATCATTTTCTCTTTTTGTCTTTCTTTATGTTATTCTTTTTTTTCCTTCTATCACCTTTTCTTTCTGTCTTTCCTATGCTTTTTTTCTTCCTTCCATCACCTTCGCTTATGTTATGCTTTGTTTTTTTGTATCAATCTACCACTTTCTCTTTCTGTCTTTCCTTATGTTATTCTTTATTTCTTCCTTTTATCACCCTCTCTTACATGTATGTAATGTTTTGTTTTTATTAATCTATCATTTTCTCTTTCTGTATTTTCTTATGTTATTAGTTGTGACTTCCTTCTATTACCTGCTCCAATGATATTCTTTGTTTTATCATTCTATCACCTTCTCGTTCTTCTTTCCGTATGTTATTCTTTGTTTCTTCCTATTATCAACTTCTCTTAAGATAATCTTTGTTTTTATCATTCTATCACCTTCTCTTTCTGTCTTTCCTCATGTTATTTTTTTGTTTCTTCCTTCTGTTACATTCTCTTTCTGTCTTTCCTTTCTGATTTACGCTGCGATATAGCAAGATGATTTTTACCAATGACCGGATATTAGTATAGATATATTGACTGCTATGGGAGGCATCGCTGTTTCTATAGGCTCAAGGGGACTTTACATCCTGATATGACCCCGAGGCGCGTCAAAGGGGTCATATCAGGGTGTATAACGTCCCCCGAGAGCCATTATAGAAACAGCTAAGTTTCGAATATTAAAGCAGTCGATGTATCTTTTATATACCAAATTTTATATACCGAATTCATCACATAAAATCTGAGACACCGTCTGTGGATCTTCGCTAGAAAGTTGACTGAATGTTAAGATCATTCGGGAACTGGACACACACACTGCACTGTATTTTGTATCCGCACTCACACAAAGAAACTGTTTGCACGTAAACCAATGAGGATCTCAGCAAAATGTAATAATGCGGCCCGTTACACGGGGCAATGGGCATCTTTAACAAAATCATAGACTGGTACGTAGGCGGGCATGCGGGCATCTTTTAAAAAAACTATTGACCGTGTACGCTCTCAACCAATCATTTAATTAGGATCCGCTTCATAATCTTTCAAATAATACCAACACATCTTTAAAGGGTATCCGGACACCTAACCCTGGACATCCACCCCCGGATAACCATCCCAGTTAACTACCCCCCAAGGACAACTACCCCCTGGACATCCACCCCTAGGGCAACCACCCTCTAGGACGACTACCCCCGTACAACGACCCCTGGACAACTACCTCCTAGGACAACTACCCCTCGGACAATGACCCCCGGAAAACTACCCCTTAGGACAACTTAGCCCGAAAAGTACCCCCAGACAACTACCCCTTACGACAACCACCCTCCAGGACAACTACGCCCCGGACAACCATTCTAGGGGGTAGTTGTCCAGAAGGGGCACGGACAACCATGGGAAATGCATTTACATTAGTCTTGCTTATCTTTTACATATTAATTTGTCAAAAGTCAGAAAATATACCCTTTTCACAACAATCAGTACAAATGAAATGATTTTGTTTGCAAGTATTGAGTTTTATCCAATTTATTACTTTTTCGCAGATTGTGTCAAAGATCTCTGTGAAAACGGCTGGTGTGAGGAGACTATGGTAGGCTACGACTGTCACTGCTCAAGTGGGTTTCAAGGGAGACACTGCGATGAACGTAGGTGTAATATCATTGGCGTATCATGGGGGTGGGGGGAGGGGTGGCTAATTAATGAACAAAGAGCATGAAGAGACTTTCTACAGGGGGTAATTTTTTTATGTGTGTTACTTGCACGCAGTTTGCTGTATCTTTTATCAGACATTGTACATGAATTCTGCACTGCACTTCACCAGTACGACAATACATGCCGGTGGCTGGTACTGCAAATGAAGAATAATAAGAATAATGATGAGGAGAAAAAAATGATGATGACTACGAAAAAATTTACCTCATGGTCCTCTTTCGGAATTTCTTGATAGAATTGGGATTCCCACAGGAAAAGCATTTTCCGATATCTCCCCCCCCCCCCCACCCCTCGTTGATCCTGTCCCTCTTTGCTGACCAAGGGTGCCTGGAGACAGTCGATGGGAAAATAATTTCAGAGGAAATAATGTTATGCTTCGTCATTTACCTAATTTTTTTCTTTTTCCAGAGGTCACCGTGTCAACGGAGGAAGCATCGACCAAGCCCACGACGAGCCATTCGACCATAATGTCAGACGCAACGACTACTCAAAACACCACTACATCGAGTATTTCTAAGCAATAAAAACTCTTCTCTCTTAATTGTTTTAACCTGACTCTACTTTTCTCAGTCTGTCATGGTCGTCGCTAAAACACTTTTTTAAGGCTGCCGTTCCCGTATTTTTTTGTTTGCATACAAACTGACTATAAACGAGCTACATCAGGTATATATTTATTTCAAAATCTCGTCCACCTAGACATATATTACTAAAAACATGCATTTGATCATTATCAAAATCTTTACCACGAAATTGTGTATAGCCACTATCCCTATCTATCTCTCTCTCTCTCTGTCTCTCTGTCTCTCTGTCTCTCTGTCTCTCTCTCTCTGTATCAGTCTTGATCTGACTTTTGTTTTGTCCTTTCCTATTCCGGGCATCGCTAAAACTTTTTTTCGGTCAGACACAACGACAACTTATTCAAGCAACCTCCACCATTGATGACACAATTTTTGTTTACCTTATAACAGAAGTGAGCTGTAAAAGTTTATATATTTTCATGGAGCTAAATTTTCCACGTTTGTGCCTTCTAATCCTCCTAATCAGATTGATTTGTACGTGTTGTTTCATTTGTTATAACCCTGAACCATCAGCTACATGTATATCATAATCAACTAGCTCAGTTTTGTTTCTTATAATGTTTCAGAGTCAACAGAATCATCGACTACGGACGCGACGACTAAGCCCACGACGAACCCTACGACGATGATGTCAGACACAACGCCATCGCAAGAAACCCCCACCACCAGTAAGTAGGAGAAACATTAAAACGATGGCATTCCTTCGATTATTATTATAATGTGCCACTTCCACTCCCCCCTCTCTCTCTCTCTCTCTCTCTCTTTGTCTCTCCCTCCCTCTTTCACACCATTCTCCTGCCAAACCCCTCCACCCCTCTCCCCCTTTCTCCCTCCCTCTCTCTATTAGTCTCTACCTGACTCTCTTTTTCTTTAACCTTTCCTTTAATAGAGGGCCATTAATGAAACTTCTTTTTAGGTAGGGAGGGGGGGGGGGGGTAGTATCCTTTTTTTTAAAGGAACATGAGCTTAAGGACAACAAACACGCCAGAGGGACATGTTGAGATACATTGTGTGACAAAAAGTCCCTTGGGCTTTGACAAAACACCACTAAATCTAAAAATATGCTGACACAAATTATACCTTATAAAAGAAATAAACGGTTAAAATGCATGTTTTCAATTTGTATAACCCTGAACCATCAACTATATCATGATCATTCAACTCCGTTATGTTTGTTAAAATCGTTGTAGAGTCAAGTGAATCATCGACTACGGACGCGAAGACCAAATCCATTACGAGCCCTACGACAACGATGTCAGACACAACGGCATCGCAAGAAACCACCACCTCCAGTAAGTAAGAGAAACAATGAAATAACCTCATGCATTTAATCCTTATCATTACGTGTCTAGCAGCTTCCCCTCCCCCTTCTTTCACTCTCTCCTTCTCTCCCTCCCCTCACTCTCTCTCTCTCTCTCTCTCTTTCTCAATCTCTGTCTTAGTCTTTATCTGACTGTTTTGTGTCCTTTCCTATTACGGACGTTGATAAAACAATTTTGTATAAGGGGGGAAGTGTTCGTCTTATTATTATTTTCGTTTACTTTACAATAGAAATGAGCTGTCAAAGTTTATATATTTTCCTGGAGCTAAATTGTCCACGTTTGTGCCTTCTAATCCTGTTCAGGTGCCATTCCTAATCACATTGTTTTGTACGTGTTGTTTCATTTGTTATAACACCTAACCATCAAATTTATCATGATCACTTAGCTCAGTTATGTTTGTTATAACGTTTCAGAGTCAACAGAATCATCGACTACGGAATCGACTACCAAGCCTGGGATGGGCCCTACGACTACGATGTCAGACCCAACATCATCGCAAGAAACCTCCACCACCAGTAAGTAAGAAAAACAATGAAATGACGTCATGCCTTCGATCTTTGTTATAATGTGCCACTACCACTCCCCCCTCACCCTCTCTCTCCCTCTCTCTCTTTGTCTCTCCCCCTCTCACACATTTTCCCTGCCGAACCCCCTCCACCCCTCTTTCCCTTTCTTCCTCCCTCTCTCTATTAGTCTCTACCTGACTCTTTTTTCTTTACCCTTTGCTTACAGGGCCATTGATAAAACTTCTTTTTTCGGAGGGGGTGGGGGTATTATATGTCTTTTTTTTTAAGAACGCGAGTTTAAGGACAACAAACACGCCACAGGAACACAGTTAGATACATTATGTGACAAAAAAGTCTCTTGGGCTTTGACAAAACACCACTAAATCTAAAAATATGCGGACACAAATTATACCTTATAAAAGAAATAAACTGTTAAAATTTATGTTTTCATTTTTTATAACCCTGAACCATCAACTATATCATGATCATTTTGATAACTCTGTTATGTTTGTTAAAATCGTTTCAGAGTCAAGTGAATCATTGACTACAGACACGACCACCAAACCCATGACGAGCCCTACGACAACGATGTCAGACACAACGGCATCGCAAGAAACCACCACCTCCAGTAAGTAAAAGTAACAATGAAAAGACATCATGCATTTAATCCTTATCATGTTGTGTCTAGCCACTTCCCCTCCCCCTTCTATCACTTTCTCTTTCTCTCACTCCCCCTCCCCCCCCCTCTCTCTCTCTCTGTCTCTTTCTTTATCTCTGTATTTGTCTTTATCTGACTGTTTTGTGTCCTTTCCTATTAAGGGCGTTGCTAAAACATTTTTTATAAGAGGGGAAGTGCCCATCTTATTCTTTTGTTTTCGACAGCAAATACGCCACAGCAATACAATAAAATAAACTATTTGGCTAGAAAGTTCCTTCGACTTTGACAAAACACACTTAAATCTACAAATTTGCCCGAAGCTTGCCGAGGGCAATAGCTCGATTGTAACCTTCCCGAGAGCGTATAAAAATAACTATGGCTCGAAAATTAAAGCAATCATTATCCTTCCGTTCTGACTATATACGCAGTTCTGACTTTAGATTTATATTTTGCTTCGTTGAGTGTTGCTGGGTTTTGTTTTGATGTCAGATCTTCTACCATGGCGAACTTTTTTCCTTAGAGTCACCAACTGTTCTTTATTATTTCATTTCGTTTTATGTAGGATTTGAACTTTATGCTGACACCAAGATGTAGCCTTGTGTGTCACCTATTAGAATGTGCAAACATATAGCGACAGTACAATAGTGTATTGAAATCACCCGTAGTGATTCATTGAAAGCATATGTGATCGTCTTGTATTACATCGGTTGTATGACAGAATGCTCCTGTGACAGTACTCCGTATTCAATTTCCTACACTAACTAAATCCCAAACTTTAACCCTGGACCAAACACTTAAGCTAACCTTAATCCCAAACCTACACCTAACCTAAAGCCTTTGAAGACATAATGCCCAGTTCGCAGATAAAGGTCACTCGTACAAAATTGTAAATTCACTTAGACTAATACTGTATACATGTTCACGAAAGTTATTTAATATTATATTATACATGCATGTACCTATGATACATTCTATTGAACACAGGTGGAAGTAATCCTTTCAAGAGGGCAAACAAAGAATCACCTCTTAATGACTTTTTAGCTGTGATTATTCCAAAAGCACAAAGTGGGATTTATCTATGTTTAAAAGATGTGTGGATATTGGCGGTCATCTAAACCATGTGCTAACTACGAACTGTTATATTATCGCCGATCAGGCAGCTGCTGGATCATTGTATAATCACTATCAACATCATCATCTTGCATTGTACATGAATGTGTAAATCACATTGGTGTGTACGTATAGGCGGATGTGCGTGTGCTGAAAATCATATGCACATGGGTGTTATTTGTCATCAATATTTTATACAAATGTAAAATACACTATTCGATTTTATCTCCCTATTGTATTTATATTTAAGTTCCATATTATTATCATCAATTTCTGGGGTGTGGCGCCCAGAGGGTAGAAGTCTTAGGTGAATGTCTATAGGGGAGTCATCCTGGGTGTTTGTTCAGCGGTAGTCATCCTGGGTGTTTGTCTAGAGGGAAGTCATCTTAGGTGTTTGTCTAGAGGGTAGTCATCTTTATAGGTGTTTGTCTAGAGGGTAGACATATTGGGTGTTAGTCCAGAGGGTAGTCATCTTTATAGGTGTTTGTCTAGAGGGTAGTCATATTGGATGTTAGTCCAGAGGGTAGTCATCTTTAGGTGTTTGCTAAAGGGTAGTCATCTTAGGTGTTTGCTACAGGGTAGTCACCTTGGCTGTTTGTCTATTAGAGGGTAGTTATATTGAATATTTTTCAAGTGGGCACTGCATGGGCAGTGATCCTGACACGTAAGTATGATGGTGTAATCATGATTATGTTAAATATGGCCTACACTTCAGGCGTCGTCATATTCGCAAATGACTGACACAAGAAATTATAATTTGGTATGTGCATCAATCGTTGCATAACAGTAGATAATTGCTTTTTTTCGAGTGGAAAGATGTAGCAAATTATTAGTCTGAACCAATAGTACTTATAGCAAGCTCTTTTGACATATTACTAGATCCTAGAGGAGTGAATTACAGAGGAAACTTATCTCACACAATCAACGAGGATAATTGTCAGGCGTGGACCTCTCATGGATACTTTATGACTAAATATCCTAACACGGGACTAGATGAAAAGTATTGCAGAAACCCCGATATGGGATTCACTGCTTGGTGTTTCACCACCAATCTTGAGATAAATTGGCAGTATTGTGCTGTAGGTTCCCTTGACCCGAGATGCCAAGGTAGCGTTGTAGTGTTTATAATGTGAGCAAATTGCTGCTCAAAATTAATTAATATCAAGATACATGCATTTATATCACATGATTTTGCATTGACAGGAGAAAAGAAACAAAATGTGCTATGTTGGGATTCTTGGAAAGCAATTGAACCTAAAGATTATAATTTCACTAAAATGTGTGAATCATATTGGAGTTTGCTTAGGCGGATGTGCGTGTTTCAAATCAAATGAATTTTGGTGTTATTGTTCATCAATATTTCATACAATTGTGCAATTTATCTACCCTTATTTATTAATATTTAAGTTCCATATTGTCATCAGCAATTTCTGGGGTGTTGTCCAGAGGGTGGTAGTCTTGGGTGTATGTCTATAGGGGAGTCATCCGGGGTGTTTGTCCAGCGGGTAGTCGTCTTAAGCCCCGTCTTAACTCATAGCCTGCCATGAGGGTGCATGCACGGACCCAGGGGAGGGAGGGGGCACAGGGGGCACATGCCCCCCGGTCAAAAAAAAAAAAAAAAAAAAAAAATAACTGAACGAATTTGCGGCCGGCGCGATTTTCAAATTTTCGGGAGCAAAATTTTTTTTAAAAAAGTGTGCTCTTATCCCGTAAAACACGGGGTGAGCTTTTGCCAGGCTCATGGACACCGTCTTAACCAGCCATCCGCAAAAACCTCACTCGAGTAGGTTACCATAACAACCGCACCTCCCTCATCGCGATCAGCTGGCGCGCGCTGTGTATACATTTTTTAACGGCCCTGACGTCATTCTACCCGGGTAAAGTTCCGCGCGCGTCTTAATAGGCCGTTTATCAGGATGTCACCCGGACAACGTTCGGACGTTACCCCGATTAACGCGTCTTAAAGATGAAGTTGAGTTCTAGTCATGCGATTGCATTGTGAAAGAAACGGTGTGGAACCAACCAGAAAAGGTTGATCATATAGCATATAAGAATTTGTGTGTATTGCAAGGTTCTGGAATCATCAAAATGATAAGAAATTTGGCCAAGTCTTGATAAAGTTACAAACACTGTACACAGAAAGATGTATATAGGACTACACGAACAAGTGGCGTAAAAAGCCGGCCCCCCGATTTTTACGATGTTACATGCACATTTAGAATATGAAGGCATTAGAAGAGCCATGCTTTTCAGGGAACATGTCTAATCTGATGTTCTTCCACACTTGCATAATAAGAATGAGTAATGCTCACAAATTATTTTCACCTCTTTCCAGAACTCAACCTTCTCTTAAACTGGAACGGGGTAGAACGTCATTCGAATACACCGCGACTATGTTTTCCGGTTAAGACGGGGTTTTAGGTGTTTGTCTATTAGGGGGTAGTTATATTGAATGTTTTCCAAGTTGGCACTTCATGGGCAGTGATCTTGACACGTAATCATGATTATGTTAAATATGGCCTACACTTCAGGCGTCGTCATATTTGTAAGTGACTGACACCAAAAATTCTAATTTGGTATGTGCATCAATCGTTGCATAACAGTAGATAATTGCTTTTTTGAGTGGAAAGATGTAGCAAATTATTAGTGTGAACCATGGGCGTCAATCCTTACGAAATACCTATTGTTCAGGGGGGATGAATGAATAGATCATCCCCCCTGAACAATAGGTATCAATTACAGATCTACGCCCATGGTCTGAACCAAAATTACTTTAGCAAGCTCTTTTAAAATGTTACTTTGTGTCTTTTCTCCAGCCACATATACATGCCTGGATGATCCTAGAGGAGTGAACTACAGAGGAAACTTATCTCAGACCATCAACGGTCGTACTTGTAAAGCGTGGACCTCTCAAGATCCCCATAAACACACTATCACTCCAGCTAACTATCCTAACGCGGGACTAGACGGAAACTATTGCAGAAACCCCGATATTGAGTACACTGCTTGGTGTTACACCACCAATCCTGGGATAAGATGGGAGTATTGCGCTGTAGGTTTCTTTGACCCAAGATGCAAAGGTAGAGTAGAAGTGTTTAGAATGTGAGCAAAAGACTGCTCAAAATTAATTGATATAGAGATGTATGCATTCATATCAAATTATTTTACATTGGCAGGAGAAAAGAAACGAAAGATGCTATGTTGGGATTCTTGGAGAGCCATTGAACCTAAAGATTAGAATTTCACTTAAATGTGTGAATCACATTGGTGTGTACGTATAGGCGGGTGTGCGTGTGTCTAATATCAAATGCATATAGGTGTTATTGTTCATCAATATTTCATACAATTGTACAATTTATCTACCCTTATTTATTAATATTTAAGTTCCATAATGTCATCAGCAATTTCTGGGGTGTTGTCCAGAGGGTGGTAGTCTTGGGTGTATGTCTATAGGGGAGTCATCCGGGGTGTTTGTCGGGTAGTCGTCTTAAGCCCCGTCTTAACTCATAGCCTGCCATGAGGGTGCATGCACGGATCCAGGGGAGGGAGGGGGGCACAGGGGGCACGTGCCCCCCGTTAAAAAATAAATAGTCTGCACTACCCCCCCCATACAATTGTACAATTTATCTACCCTTATTTATTAATATTTAAGTTCCATAGTGTCATCAGCAATTTCTGGGGTGTTGTCCAGAGGGTGGTAGTCTTGGGTGTATGTCTTTAGGGGAGTCATCCGGGGTGTTTGTCGGGTAGTCGTCTTAAGCCCCGTCTTAACTCATAGCCTGCCATGAGGGTGCATGCACGGATTCAGGAGAGAGAGGGGGGCACAGGGGGCACGTGCCCCCCGTTAAAAAAAAAATAGTGTGCACTACCCCCCCCCCCCCCCCCCCCCCAACTGAGCGAATTTGCGGCCGGCGCGATTTTCAAATTTTCGGGAGCAAAAAAAAAAATTAAAAAAGTGTGCTCTTATCCCGTAAAACACGGGGTGAGCTTTTGCCAGGCTCATGGACACCGTCTTAACCAGCCATCCGCAAAAACCTCACTCGAGTAGGTTACCATAACAACCGCACCTCCCTCATCGCGATCAGCTGGCGCGCGCTGTGTACATGTATACATTTTTTTAACGGCCCTGACGTCATTCTACCCGGGTAAAGTTCCGCGCGCGTCTTAATAGGCCGTTTATCAGGATGTCATCCGGACAACGTTCGGACGTTACCCCGATTAACGCGTCTTAAAGATGAAGTTGAGTTCTGGTCATGCGATTGCATTGTGAAAGAAACGGTGTGGAACCGACCAGAAAAGGTTGATCATATAGCATATAAGAATTTGTGTGTATTGCAAGGTTCTGGAATCATCAAAATGATAAGAAATTTGGCCAAGTCTTGGTAAAGTTACAAACAATGTACACAGAAAGATGTATATGGGACTACACGAACAAGTGGCGTAAAAAGCCGCCCCCCCGATTTTTACGATGTTACATGCATATTTAGAATATGAAGGCATTAGAAGAGCCATGCTTTTCAGGGAACATGTCTAATCTGATGTTCTTCCACACTTGCATAATAAGAATGAGTAATGCTCACAAATTATTTTCACCTCTTCCCAGAACTCAACCTTCTCTTAAACTGGAACGGGGTAGAACGTCTTTCGGATATGCTAGGAGTCCACTGGGCCGGCGCCAGTTGGTGCCAGTTCGCGCCAAAGATTATGTGATTGGCGCGTAGTGGCTCGCTGTGGCCCCGAATTAATGTCCGCTCGGCATGTATCGCCAAGTTGAATAAACTGGGTGCCATATGGCGTGCGCCAAATGCCACCCGGCTTGCTCCAAAATGTTGCGCCAGTTCGCGCCAGTTCGCGCCATTACACGGCCATTTGATTCCAAAATTCACCCTGTTGGTGCCATTCGCGCCAATAGACGGCTACTTTGCGCCACTTGGTGATTAGTTTGTGCCAAAGGTCGCCAAATTAGTTTGAACTTGCCGCCGTTTGGCGCTACTTGCCGACTAAATAAATACCGGCCATTGGCTACCTGGTTCAGACCCTCCTCAGCTGCTGTATGAACAACATCTCTACTAAATATTTACAATTTTGATATGTCTGAGGCTTTTGATAATGTTGGAGTGATGATGCTGCTCCATCAGAAGATGATGAGAGATGCTGAGGTGGCTACTGCCTAGCAACTTATGCTGACCAATCCTGAAGAAGAAGAGCCTCCTATCAAGAAAAGGAAGCACAACTGGTGGTTTAGACCCATGCTCCACCCACAGTTGAGGGCCGAACGTGGACAATACCACAGTTTGATGGAAGAGCTGAGTGAGAATGACAGGAGGAATTTCAAGAACTACACCAGGGTGTCCCCAGATATATTTGATGACTTGCAGAAGAAGGACACCCACATCAGGAAGGCAATTCCCCTGGTCTCAAGTTGTCCGTCTTCCTGCGCCATCTCGCCACTGGGGCCACCTATGCCGAGCTGTCTTACAACTTCCGAGTGGGCAAGGAAACCATCCAGAAGTTTGTCCCTGATGTAGCCAGAGCGATAGTGGATGAGTATGCTGCAGAAGTCATCTCCCTCCCCACAACCAATGAAGGCTGGGTTGAGGTTGCAGGTGATTTTGAAGCCAGATGGAATCTTCCTCACTGTCTGGGAGCCTATGATGGAAATAACATCCGTCTCCAGTAGCCCAACAAATCAGGCAGCCTTTACTTCAACTACAAGCAGTTCTTCTCGGTTGTCCTGATGGCTCTGGTAGATTCAAAGTACCAGTTCCTGTGGATCGATGTGGGTGGGGTTGGCCATCAGTCTGATGCCCAGATCTACAACAGCAGTGAACTGAAGGAGTGCATTGAAGCTGGCACTTTAGGCATCCCAGATCCAGCTCCTCTTCCCCATGATGATGAAGAGCACCCTATGCCGTACTTCTTCGTGGGAGACGATGCCTTCGCCATGAGGACGTACATGATGAAGCCCTATGGCCGTCGTAACATGGACCAACAGCAGAAGATCTTCAACTACAGGCTGTCCAGTGCAAGGCGTGTGGTTGAAAATGCCTTTGGTATTCTGGCTCTGCGGTTCCAGTGCTTCCTTGGCCAGATGAGAGAGGAACCAGACACAGTCCGCCTGCTTATTGAAGCTGCCGTCATGCTGCACAACCTCATCAGGAAGCGCTATCAGGCACTAGACGTCCGCATGTTGGACCAAGAGGAAGCCCAGCACAACCTCATCCCTGGTGCTTAGAGAACTGCCGCCATCACTGTGAGAAAGTCCTGCGATGCCGCCCTGCTTTTATAGGCGGCAAGTGGCGCCGAATGGCGGGCAATCAGGTGGCATTTGGCGCGAAGTAGTCACCAATCGGGTGCCGTTTGGCTCGCGTAGTGGCGCAAACAAGGTGCCCCTTGGCGCCAAGTGGCGTCATGTGGCGCGAAATCTCATTGGCGCAACTTGGCGCGCGCCATTACATTCCAGTGGATTCCAATAGGCGGATTGTTTGCGCCAAAGGGCGATATGTTCGCGCCATTTGGGGTCACTTGGCGGACACTTGGCGCTGATTGCTCGATGCAAGTGGCGCGACGCTTGCCGCCACATTCAAATTTGGTGCCGTTATGCTAGGAGTCCACTGGGCCGGCGCCAGTTGGCGCCAGTTTGCGCCAATGCAATTTACTGTGGCGCCTAGTGTCGCCAATAAGGTGCCTAGTGGCGTGTAGTGGCTCAAACTGCCTCCCAACTGGCTCGTGGTGGCGCATAACGGCACCAAATTTGAATGTGGCGGCAAGAAAATTTCAAAATGTTTGAAATTTTCGTCGCGCCACTTGCATCGAGCAATCAGCGCCAAGTGTCCGCCAAGTGGCACCAAATGGCGCGAATATATCGCCCTTTGGCGCAAACAATCCGCCTATTGGAATCCACTGGAATGTAATGGCGCGCGCCAAGTTGCGCCAGTGAGATTTCGCGCCACATGGCGCCACTTGGCGCCAAGGGGCACCTTGTTTGCGCCACTACGCGAGCCAAACGGCACCCGATTGGTGACTACTTCGCGCCAAATGCCACCTGATTGCCCGCCATTCAGCGCCACTTGCCGCCTATAACAGCAGGGCGGCATCGCAGGACTTTCTCACAGTGATGGCGGCAGTTCCCCAAGCTCTAGGGATGAGGTTGTGCTGGGCATCCTCCTGGTCCAACATGCGGACGTCCAGTGCCTGATAGTGCTTCCTGATGAGGTTGTGCAGCATGACGGCAGCTCAATGAGTAGGCGGACTGTGTCTGGTTCCTGTTTCATCTGGCCAAGGAAGCACTGGAACCGCAGAGCCGGAATACCAAAGGCATTTTCAACCACACGCCTTGCCCCGGACAGCCTGTAGTTGAAGATCTTCTGCTGTTGGTCCATGTTACGACGGCAATAGGGCTTTATCACGTACGTCCTCATGGCGAAGGCATCGTCTCCCACGAAGACGTACGGCATAGGGTGCTCTTCATCATCATGGGGAAGAGGAGCTGGATCTGGGATGCCTAAAGTGCCAGCTTCAATGCACTCCTTCAGTTCACTGTTGTTGTAGATCTGGGCATCAGACTGATGGCCAACCCCACCCACATCGATCCACAGGAACTGGTACTTTGAATCTACCAGAGCCATCAGGACAACCAAGAAGAACTGCTTGTAGTTGAAGTAAAGGCTGCCTGATTTGTTGGGCTTCTGGAGACGGATGTGCTTTCCTTCATAGGCTCCCAGACAGTGAGGAATATTCCATCTGGCTTCAAAATCACCTGCAACCTCAAGCCAGCCTTCACTGGTTGTGGGGGGGGGGGGGGAGATGACTTCTGCAGCATACTCATCCACTACCGCTCTGGCTACATCAGGGACAAACTTCTGGATGGTTTCCTTGCCCACTCGGAAGTTGTAAGACAGCTCGGCATAGGCCCAGTGGCGAGATGGCGCAGATAGAGGGACAACTTGAGACCAGGGGAATGGCCTTCCTGATGTGGGTGTCCTTCTTCTGCAAGTGGGGTGTTAGCCTGACCAACAGGTCATCAAACATCTCTGGGGACACCCTGGTGTAGTTCTTGAACTTCCTCCTGTCATTCTCACTCAGCTCTTCCATCAAAGTGTGGTACTGTCCATGTTCGGCCCTCAACTGTGGGTGGAGCATGGGTCTAAACCACCAGTTGTGCTTCCTTTTCTTCTTAGGAGGCTCTTCTTCTTCAGGATTGGCCAGCATAAGTTGATAGGCAGTGGCCACCTCAGCATCTCTCATCATCTTCTGATGGAGCAGCATCATCACTCCAACATTACCAAAAGCCTCAGACATATCAAAATTGTAAATATTTAGTAGAGCTGAGGAGGGTCTGAACCAGGTAGCCAATGGCCGGTATTTATTTAGTCGGCAAGTAGCGCCAAGCGGCGGCAAGTTCAAACCAATTTGGCGACCTTTGGCACAAACTAATCACCAAGTGGCGCAAAGTAGCCGTCTATTGGCGCGAATGGCGCCAACAGGGTGAATTTTGGAATCAAATGGCCGTGTAATGGCGCAAACTGGCGCGAACTGGCGCAACATTTTGGAGCAAGCCGGGTGGCATTTGGCGCACGCCATATGGCACCCAGTTTATTCCACTTGGCGACACATGCCGAGTGGACATTAATTCGGCGCCACAGCGAGCCACTACGCGCCAATCACATAATCTTTGGCGCGAACTGGCACCAACTGGCGCCGGCCCAGTGGACTCCTAGCATTACGGGCCACCACGAGCCAGTTGGGAGGCAGTTTGAGCCACTACACGCCACTAGGCACCTTATTGGCGACACTAGGCGCTACAGTAAATTGCATTGGCGCAAACTGGCGCCAACTGGCGCCGGCCAAGTGGACTCCTAGCAATACACCGCGACTATGTTTTCCGGTTAAGACGGGGTTTTAGGTGTTTGTCTATTAGGGTAGTTATATTGAATGTTTTCCAAGTTGGCACTTCATGGGCAGTGATCTTGACACGTAATCATGATTATGTTAAATATGGCCTACACTTCAGGCGTCGTCATATTTGTTAGTGACTGACACCAAAAATTCTAATTTGGTATGTGCATCAATCGTTGCATAACAGTAGATAATTGCTTTTTTGAGTGGAAAGATGTAGCAAATTATTAGTCTGAACCATGGGCGTCAATCCTTACGTAATACCTATTGTTCGGGGGGTTGAATGAATAGATCATCCCCCCTGAACAATAGGTATCAATTACAGATCTACGCCCATGGTCTGAACCAAAATTACTTTAGCAAGCTCTTTTAAAATGTTACTCTGTGTCTTTTCTCCAGCCACATATACATGCCTGGATGATCCTAGAGGAGTGAACTACAGAGGAAACTTATCTCAGACCATCAACGGTCGTACCTGTCAAGCGTGGACCTCTCAAGATCCCCATGAACACACTATTACTCCAGCTAACTATCCTAACGCGGGACTAGACGGAAACTATTGCAGAAACCCCGATATTGAGTACACTGCTTGGTGTTACACCACCAATCCTGGGATAAGATGGGAGTATTGCGCTGTAGTTTCCCTTGACCCCAGATGCCAAGGTAGGGTAGAAGTGTTTAGAATGTGCACAAATGGCTGCGCGAAATTAATCAATATAAAGATCTATGCATTCATATCAGATTACTTTACATTGACAGGAGACAAGAAATGAAAAATTCTATGTTGTGGTTCTTGTAAAGCATTCAAACCTGAAAAGTAAAAATCCCACTGCACTTAAACTGTTTCCTGAAGGGGTTCATGCACCTACTGGTATGTCATTCGCTTTGATCGGATGCTTCTACTCCTTCATTTTTAACCAATAATATTTAGTTCTTTGCTTTGAAAGAATAACCTGTAAGCTCTGGTTACATTGACCGTGCCAGTTTCCTTGTTAGGGTACCGTATCGTATACGTATCATCTAGCTAATTATTTCATTTTATTTTTTCCGTGAGCGGCAATCCTAATGTTTAAAATATGTAACAATTTAGACCATTTTGTTTGTTGACCTTATCCCGCGAATGGGCTTTCGAGAACAATGTTGGGAGCCGATGTTAGGTTTTGCTCCTTCTGTCTATTATAGCTTAGTGGTTGTCCATCATGAGTATTTTATTCAAACTAACATTACACTGTTCAATTTGATATCCCCTTTGTTATTCATATGTGTGTTCCTAGTTATTCATAGTAACTTCTTGTAATCATTGTTTTCAACAGAATGAACCCCGATTCCAACAATTATGAGCCTACCCACAACAGCGATACCTGAACAATCGGAACCAATCACATTTACAAACCACTGCTGGTAAACATTGATTTTGTCTTTGTTGTTGTTGTTGTTGTGGTTGTTGCTGTGTGTTTACTTGCAATTTTGTTTTTTTAGAGTGGGGGCAAATCTCTAAATACGTGTTTAGATGGTTATCATGCTCTCATTTTCACGTTTATACATTTGTCGGTACAACATATTGCCTGCTTAAACTCGAAGATGACATCACGTAAATGGTTTATTAACCTCATAAACTAAATAAATCATAGCACATACGAAAACGTGCTGGCTAATACCAAGGTGAACAGTAGACCTAGAGTTTTTATGCTAATTAGAAAGCATTCGAAGACAAACATTTGTTTACAATTGCCAATTTAACTGCCACCCCTACACATATGATTGAATCAACTACATGACGTTGAATAGATCTGAATAGGACATTTTTCAGATATATAGAAACCATAGGAGCAACTGTTGACACTTTTCGGAAAGAAAAATTTCAATTCAAAGTTTTACCCCGGCTGAGACTTTACTCTACAATTTTACTATGATTCAATTTTTGATCAGAAGACAGGATTGTGGTCATAATTCCGATTTAAGGTGAAGACTGCAAAATCTGCCATTATGGTTTCTACTTGTACGCATTATATGAATGGAGGTTGGGATTTGTTCTCAAAGTACTGAATTCTCATTGACTCTGTGTTATTAGATGATCGCCCGTGAAGTGTAGCAAATCTCCCAATGAGAATATATACTTAGGCGTTGTATGTGATTGTGTATCAAAAGAGCTGGATAAGTAGATTTATACTGATTTACTTTTAGTGTTAATATACATACACCCACAACAAAAAGTGAGTCACCCTTACTCAAATTGATGAGTCACTGGTTTGTCCGTACAGCGAAACACTTGAAGGATCATGTGAGTCACTATGACTCGATACAAATGAGTCTTATTTATCTAAGAGACTCATTTGTATCGAGTCATAGTGACTCACATGATCCTTCAAGTGTTTCGCTGTACGGACAAACCAGTGACTCATCAATTTGAGTAAGGGTGACTCACTTTTTGTTGTGGGTGCATCATGACATAGACCCCCCCTACTCCCTAGGCCTATCACACACATACCATACCATGCCAGAGTCACTGTCTACATTTGCAATGGAAAATATATCCTAAAATATCACATTTTAGCGATGTAATCGGTGGTCCCGCTACCCGAATCTGAAAAATCTACTTTGTACGCACTAAATTAAGCCTTAACTTGAGATTTATTTGTCACCCATACTGTCACGAAACAATCTTGAATTAATTCGTTTTACATCAAATAACAAGGATCTAGGAGTTTCGTTGTATAAAACAATGATGCAAGATCATGCATGTTTTCATTCGACACGGCTTCGTGCGATACAGTAGAATCTATACACTATGAACATGACTGACAATGAGAGCGGACAAAATATACAGTTCCTCAGGTAGAAAAAGGAACATCCCTTCACAGCTATTATGTAAAAAGGTGAATATGCATGTGACACCTGTTCTACACATTTTTACATAATAGCAGTAAGGGATGTTCCTTTGTCTACCTGAGGAACTGTATATTTTGTCCGCTCTCATTGTCAGTCATGTTCATAGTGATAGTTAAGTTACACACAGCCTCATCAACTCGAGTGCGGATATCGTAAAATGAACGCATGCATCATTTGTATAATAATCAGAAGATTCAGCCCACGAATCCAGTCATAAAAATCATCGTTTAAAACCATATGAATAATTATGCGTACCAATTTTTCACTAGCTGCAGTCAAAACTCTTCTGAATCCAAGATATAAGATGGCGACGTCGCGTCGTCGATCGGGAATTCAAATATGGCTCGAGAATGCGCATTTTGGATGACGTCACGAAAGCATGCGCGCGCATGCATACAGCCTCACTTTCAAGTTGACTCACTTTTTTCTTCTAAAATGCTCTTATGTCGATCTTGACTCATTTTTTACGACCATGTGAGTCAGTCGAAGCATTTTGCAAATGCGTCAGCTCATGATTGACACACTGGTGAAATATAAATGAGTCAATAGAGACTCATTGGTTGTTACTAATGAGTCAATTTACACCTGACTCACGAAAATTATGCTTAAATGTGTCAAATGACTCACTTTTTGTTGTGGGTGTACATCACAGTTATATTGTTATTAAACAGTATAATGAATTGATGAGTTTTGCAAGTATGATTTACTTTTAGTGTTAATATACATACATCGCCGTTATATTGTTATTAAACAGTATACTGAATTGATGAGTTTTGCAAGTATGATTTACTTTTAGTGTTAATATACATACATCGCCGTTATATTGCTATTAAACAGTATACTGAATTGATGAGTTTTGCAAGTATGATTTTTTAGTGTTAATATACATATATCGCCGTTATATTGTTATTAAACAGTATAATGAATTGATGAGTTTTGCATGTATGATTTACTTTTAGTTTTAATATACATACATCGCCGTTCTATTGTTATTAAACAGTATACTGAATTGATGAGTTTTGCAAGTATGATTTACTTTTATCGCCGGTATATTGTTATTAAACAGTGTAATGAATTAATGAGTTTTGTAAGTACATAACTGTTTACTATTTTTACTGTTTTACTATTACACTTTAGAAGGTATAGAATCGATAGAAAAATAGGATAATTGTTGATGCTATGAATGAACGCCTCATGAAATAGTAGTGCAAGTGTGTGGATACCCATTTCACAACTAGAATATGAACAAGCCTGTTACCAGTGGCATAGACTTACTGTAACGAAGTGGAAACACGGCACCCAAGTCGTTTATAAATGTGAACAGGACCTTTGTTCTAAGAGAGGGACTGTGTGGCGCCTCTGACTGATAACCTACAAATAAACAGTCTAGTAGTCAAGTAAGTGGTCTCTTTTGGACCCATTGAGATGTACGTACGTAATACTACGTTTTAGAATAGTGCAGTTAGTGAATTCTAATCGGCATAATTAATGATTACGATACACCTTTCATGAGCTTGATTACATTTTATTATATTGTATTTTGTATTCGCGATGCTACACTATAGAGCAACTGGCTTAGTCTAGCTTAGTAATATTAGTTATTTTATAAAGGGACTTGAGTGATTTGATAAGTAAACCAGCCAACCCAGCGGTTTGCGAACCGGTGTGCGTAGTTTCAGCAAGATGCTTTTATTAAAAAAAATTGGTAGAAAGAAGCTCTTTTAATTTTAATTACATTTACATTTAGTAAATCATATTTTTTTTTAGCGGATTTTACTCCAGCTAGGGAGTTTGTTTTAGAGTTTAAAGGGAACATAGAGCAAGGGATTATTGCTTTCACTATATACTTCCTGTCATTACATTGCACAGTTATTTATATTCGCACAATAAATCTAAAAGTCTTTTTTTCAGATGATTCAACCAATCATTACATGTATTTAATTGTCCATGTGGATTGTTGAGAGAACATAAAACCGTTATAGCATGTTGTTTTATCTTGACTTATTATGTTTTGCGGATGCACGAGTAATTTGGAACTGCTTGGTTATTGAACGTAAGGATTATATTCATTGCGGGAAATATTTTTAACTATTAATTGAAAATGTTTTATCAGCAATTAAATTATTTATATTACCTGTGATATACTTAGTTATCATTTGAGTTACGTGTTATTATTGAAGCCAGGAATTAACTAAACATTTATTTCATTGTTTTTATAGACATTTCTTTAAAGCCGTTTAATATAATTGGAAATTAGATTAGGTTTCTTTTTTTTTGGTGAATACCTGGCTCATGCAGATTGATATGAAACAGCTTTACCGTAATATAAAACTAAAGCATTAACATGTGTTCATGATCATTGTTTGTATATTGATAACTTTTGATTATGGTTATTCTAGTAATAAAAGTCATTCTACATTCTGACACCAATTTCACCACAAGGAACTGTTTGTTCTCTTCATTTTATCATTTTAGCTCCCATGTAACCTGATAGGGGCGTTACATTTCCGAAGGCCATGTGTAATAATTAAATTTCAATGACTTTACGGTCAATTGTTTTTGTGTAAGAAGAAGAAAGATACAGAGCGTATAAGAACGTGTCGAGAAGAGATATTGAGAGAAGTTTTAATGAAAGAGATTTATAATTCATTGAGAGATTTCGAAAGGAGGAGATAAAGGGTGTGGAAATGAAAGACGATATTTAATTTAAAGTAATATAAATTTGTCGTGAAAGAAGAATATGATA